TAGAAATTTCTCCTGGAAAACGTGTGTAGCACCATTTTTCTCTTCAGGTTGCTCCTCAAATTTATATTTTCACTTAAAGCTGAGATTTTTTCAATAGCCATCTAGAACAAATGTTTTCCAACCTTGCTCATTTCTAGGTGTGAGAACTTTAAAACCCAGAATTCCACGGCCAGAATGGCCATGATGGCAATTTTGGGAATTGAAGTCCACATACTTGGAAGTCACCAAGGTTGGGAAATGATGATGTAGAACAGAGTTCTCCAACCTTTTTGGCTTTGAGGACCAGCAGGGAGGAAGGAATGGTTCCACACATGCATGGTGGGCAAGTGTGCGCGCATGCAGCTCCATTTGTGCAAGTGGCGGGCACATGATCCCGCTGTTCATGGAAATGGAATGCGGGTATGTACTCACCCACTGCTTGCATGAGTGGGAATGTGCATGCAGGCTGCTTGCCCACTTCTGGCGGCCCTGTTCCAAAACGCTCAAAGCCTGGTAGTGGACTGTGGCTTGGGGCTGAGGAGTAGAATTTAAATGGAATCTAAGAATGCATTGCATTTGCTTGTGTTCACCCATCTCTACCTTATCTGTTCTTTTCCTCCTCCTGTTTGAATTATTGAAACTTTGTGGAAAAAGTGCCTCGCAATCAGAAACAAATCTTTCAGCTTAGGCTATAACGTAAAATATTGTGTAGAGTGTAATATGAATTGATAATGTTTTATGAAATCATTCTTCTCAAACCCGATTCCTATCATAATAGTCAGCCAGCATAACCAGTGGAGATGTAGTCCAACACAGCTGGAAGACTGTAAACCATCTGGAAGACTATAAGCCATCAGTAGTAGCAATACATGCAGAATTCACTTCTGTTGCAGTATGGCAAAGCACAAACCCCAGTCCTGTTTGAAAGTGTTTTTAAGATTTGTTGCCAGTTCAGTTATTGAGCTCCAGAATTAAATCTATAGTTGACTTAATTAAAAGTGTTGTGTATCTTCTTTCAGTCATTGTAGTGGAGTTCTGGAAAAGAGGACTCCTTACAAATCAACATGGGAAAAAGAAGCAGGAAGACTACATTTTAAGAATTTAGCAATATTTTAATCTTTTCTTTCCTACTTAAAACAAATCTTGTCTTACAGTTACAATTCCTTTCCTTCCAAATTTTATTCTTGAAGATGATCAGGAAAAAAGTTGTTTAATAGATGAATAAATTTCATATCAAATAAGTGATGGATGAATCTTATTTTTCCCATGCTACTCATAAGACATCTGGAGAGCAGATTGGAGAAGAGACATCTGTATGCCAAATACATACAGATGGATTGCAACTGGTCCATCTACATAATGCAAACCACAAGTGAGGACTGGATAGGAGGAAGACTTAGGCCATTATCTGCATTCCTGTGAAAAACTGCTTTGCCATCTTGTTTGGGTCATGTAGTACAGAAATGAAAATGGGCAGCATATGGTGACCAATTATCCTGAGAATCTGAATAATTTTCTCATAGTTGCATTACAATTGAATAAGCATTACCTGTCCTTAAAACAGACACTGCTAACGCCAACCATTTTTTTAAAAAAAAAACTATAGCTAGTTTAATTGCAAAACAAAATGCTTTTTTCTAGATGTTGCATCTCTATCTCAACAACCATGTGTCATTCTAGAAGAAATTGTGAAGAAGAAAAAAGTATATAGAATACTTAGTTCTTAAAATCAGAATTCTGGCGACTCATAATCATAGGGTAAGAATGGATGTATAATCCCCTGGAAATGGGGGATTATGGGCAGGTATCATCCATCTTAAATCAATTACACACACAATTAAACACACACACACACACACACACACACACAGAACACCTTCTCCCTTCCCAACTGCAATTATCTTACGGTATTGAGAACTTCATTAGGATATGTCAGTAAAAGCTGACTTGCTTCATTATGCATCTTTTTGGGGAACTGTGCGGTTATAAATTAAAACATTTAACTGTTTGGGTTATACTGGTGGTCCCATGTGTGTTCAAACCAGCAAACATCTGTTCAGAATTTCCCAGGACTGTGTATAAAAGGATATGTATGAAATGACTACACCTTTCCAGAAGCAAAATGAACCAAGATAGGCTGAATCAAAATAGCTTAATCTAGTTTGCACTGGAACTGTGGAACCTGGTTTTCATTTGCTATAGTGTTTTTTAAAACCTAATGAGGTTCGCTGTCCCCTTAAGCAGGATAGTACTTTATGCTCATAGAGACAAGCATTTGGCAGGGCAGAAATTTCATGGACCACAAATTTTGTTTATAGGATAGCCCCCCCCCCCCGCCTTCTTTTCTCATATTTTAATCCTAATGTATGTTAAAAAGAAAATCCCATCCCCAAGTAATTCCTTATGTTTAATCTTTCCATCATAGCATAAACTACAGCAGAGGGCTTAATTGTGTTCTTCCTCTCTGCTGTTCTCTTGAGGTCTTTATGGTGCCAAGGCAGAAACTACTGACTGAATTGCATTGTAAGATCAATGGTGTGCCAAAGCCACGTCTTGCAATTTTCACTGAAGAGGGACAAGATGCAAAATCTTTGGCCTCTGCTGGCTTAAAGAATATCTAAGAGGTCAAAGAAAGATCCACAAGTTACATGCATGTGAGATCTGTTATGAATTGGTGAGGTTCCTCCTGAAAGATAAAATTGTGGCAGCCAAAATCACTGAGCCACTATCCAAAGGCAGGAGAATGAATCCAGGGAGCGAAGACCCAGAGGATTTCTGGGAAAGGAAGTTTAGAAATTCTTGCTTTCCACTCTGTAGACTCAGCTATGCTTTTCTTCAATGAGTTCCTATTTTTGATCTTTGCTGCTCTGCTTTTCTTCAATGAAATGTAGCATTTTTTCCATGACGTGACTTTTGAGGCTTTTAAAGAAATAATTGATAGTTGAAATCCTGAGAAGCAGTTCGTAACTTTAGCCTTGCCACTGCTACTGTATTCGGTTGACCGAGGCCACTGGTCTCCCAGTAAGTAGCAATGGGATTTCCAAAAACTGAAGCTGACATTCCATCTCCCTGCTTTTCTAGCAGCAAGTGCCTGAATTTTGGAATTAATTGGCATTTCAGCAGAAATACCTTGGAGTTCACAAACAGAAATGCAGGTTTTCAGTTATTAGGCCTTTTCTAGCCTCAAGATAGGAACAACTGTGAACAAACTGAAACTGTAGTACTGCACAGTATTTTGTAGGTGTTCAGGAAATGTTAGAGAGGCATGTGGTGTGGTTGGTTTGGTATAGAGAATTCAGTCTCTAGGCCACGTAGATGAAACACCAAATTCATACAGTTTATGTGAATTATAGCCATCTTGACTGCTCGCCAGAGCATAAAGGTCAGGTTTTAAAATAAATAAATTTAATCCAACAAGGATTCTAAATTGAGTTCAGTCTTTCCTGTCTCCAATTCCAGCTTTTTGAGAATGATTCAGTCTATAGAAATGTGTTCAGCAGTGGGACCCAGAGAAGTTGGATTTTCTTCCAGTTCTCGTTGTGGAGCATGAAATGTTTCTTTGCTCAGACAATGCTGCTCTTTGTTCTAGGTATCTAAACCATGTCCGAGCTGCTTCCCCACAGGATCTTGCTGGTGGCTACACTTCCTCTCTTGCCTGTCATCGAGCCCTTCAAGAAGCCTTCAGTGGGCTGTTTTGGCATCCTGGCTAGCTGGGGGGTAACAGACACCAAAGCAGAGCAAGCAAAACTCAGGTGAAAATTGTTGCCGTCTGCACTATGGCTAAACTGCAGTCATCTATCTTTTTTTTTTTTAAAAAAAGAAGACATTGTAAAGCCAGCTATACTTAAGTTTAAAAATTCACTATATAGAAACTTTATTTAGAAAAAATGGTGGTGTGTATGTGTTTTTTCTTTTCTGTGGTTTGAGGATGGGAATGGGAGATGCTTTATGTCACTCTCCTGAGATGTTAATGGAAGATGTGTGCAATCGTTTCATGTATTTAAGGTTTCTGAAACAGACTAGTACATTTTTAAAATAAATAAATAAATCCACTTGTTGTTGTTATTTTCTATAGTTTCTATATCTTCTTTTCAGGTTTCTATTTGCAAAACTACTGAAATGCTGTTTTCATTAAACCTGTATAGTACAATTCTACTAAAAGCCAAAAAGCCTTTTCCTCTCTTAAACCAGTGTGTATTGTGAATTATATTTTTCTCCCCTGAAGCATGATATAAGAATTGGAGATATGTTTTTTCCATAATACCTTGAGTTCTGAGCAGTGAAATCAGAAGATTGCAACAATGTCACTCTGTCAATATTCAATTATGTATCTGGCTCTAAAAATACCAAAAACACATACAGAAGAAAGTGCAAAGATGAGTGCAAAGATGAGCAGCCTGCAATCCACAAGTGACTATTGGTTTTCCTTCAGTATGGAAAAAGCTGACATTTTTATACCTGCTTGACTTTGAATGGTTTTAAGAGACAAAATAAATAGGGCTATAGAGCGACCCAGATTCTAAGATGATTTTGAACGTGGTGATATTCGTGGAGAGGCTGCATCTTTTTTTTAGATTCTTTGATTTCAGGAAAAGATGGGTTTGATTTAAGTGGAGGCTGACAGATATTAACATGCACTCCAAATCATCTGTTTCCCTTTACATCTGAATTGCTTGCTACATGGCCCTAAAACATGTACCTTAAACCTTGAAAAGTTTAAAGGTCCCAATATAATAATTCTGAAAGATTATCAAAATTTATCTAATTTTTTTCCCCATTGAGGATGTTAGTTACTATTTCCAGAGATTATTATTGGGTAGTTATTGCAATAAAACCAATAGCTATATTAATGTTTACTGGATAAGAAATAACTGTATTAGGACATTCCCTCCCCCCCAATGGAAACTCTTATGTTATTGGAAGAATATCACCTGTGTTTCAGAAGCAGCTTTATGGACTAGAGTCCACTCCATATGATACATGAAATGTTAATTATCGATTGACAAAAAACCAAGATTATACCGTTTTAAAGACTATTTAATTTGGGGAAATATTTCATGTATTTGAAGCATACCAGCTTAAATGTGCAAATTGGAATTCAATAATTATGTAGTATCAGGAACAGAAGTACATTTAGAATTCCACAAACTGAGAGTGATAGTATGTCATTAGAGGGCATATTTTGTTACAAAATTAAATACATATCAGCTGTTATTGAAAACAGCAAAGCAACTGCTTTATGAATTTAGGAAATGGTAGGTTGTGTTTTAAACTGTAATATAAGATGCATTTGAGTATAATTAAGCAAAATGCAAGAAGGCCTCTCTAGATGAAACATACACCTAGTTTACAAACTAATATTTTTATTTCATATCCTGAATTCCTCCTTCCTCTAAAACAGGAGCATATAATCATCAGATATGTGTGTATAAACACAGTTGCTTTTATAAACAAGGAAGTGAAAAACTCAGTTTATGAATATAGATGCTCTCGTTTAATAACCATTCTTTCAGCAATTGTTCAAAGTTACAATGGTGCTGAACAAGGAGCCTTATACAGTCCTCAAAGTTGCGGCCATTGTAGTGTCCCATGGCCATATGATCATGATTCAGGGTTTTGGCAACTGGCTCACAATTATGATACTTGCAGCATCCCACTGTCACTGTATCACCATTTGTAACCTATACTATATTTCAAATACTTCATTGCTTTATCCTTCATCTCCCTTAGCTCCTCAGGAGCTGCTCAGGATCTGTGGCTGGACATAGACATCACAGGACCAATGACATCCAATGCCCTACGTATGGGTACTTCAAGACTGGAATGAAATATTTCATCTTGTCCATTTAATTTTATACTTTCTCATTGGTGGATGAATAACTGGACACAAGCTTAAACACAAAATATAACAAATTATGGAAAAATACAAAATTTAATGCTCTTTAAATAAGACAACTGACCCTAATCATATATAATAGGATTTAAAAGAACTGAAACATAATCAGCATACAATTAGCTCGTAAGCATACAGTGAGCATACAATTACCAACGCTGAGAAAAGACTAGATAACTGCTGTTACACAGAGAGCAGATCCAATGTACTTTCCTCAACTTGAAAAATGAAATTAAAATTCTATTCAGTCATGATCCACATATCTCCTAGATGGTTTGATTATTTTCTTCAGTGTAATTTTCATTTGGGCATGGTCGTTTAGATGGAGGTTCCCCCGGATCATCTGCAAGATGATTAAGATAATTAGATCTGAATGGCTGGTATATCTATCTGTCCCTCCATCCCAACCTATGTTTCTCAGATAGTCTCTAAGCACTGTTAATTGTGTGGTTTTGGCTAAATAAATTTTCATAGCATCAAAACCCACATATACATAGATACAATGGCAGTCAGTAACTGCCCATTTCACTAAAACATGATTTGGCTCTTAGCACTCAAAAATAAAGTTAACAATTTATGGCTTTTACAAATCATACAAAACCAAGCTGACTAACTAGATTATAGATTAATGCAGTATATATGTCAGGTCAATTTGAGACAAGAGACGCACAGTGCTCTTTAGATCTCAACCCAAGAAATATCCTCAATCAGAGTCAGGTAGCAAACTTTTACTAAGCCTCCATTCACCCGCATAATATTTACCTGCCAGAGAAGACAGTGGCTTGTATAACACCTCAGCTGGAAGTTGAAAGCTAACACACATCATTTCTTTATTGGGTGCCACATTTCTCACCCATTTAACAGAACAAAGACTATACAAGGAAGCTCCCAGTAAAGCTTCCACTCTTTCTTGAACATCTTGGGTAGGGTTATCATGTTTGGAAAAACAGTGGCAGTGCACTGTAGGAAGTTCAGCACTGATTGGTTCTCCATTCAGGAGATGCCTGAAGGCATCCAGGAACTCAATTGCCATGGCTGGCAAATTCATGATGATATGTATAGAATTCTTCCATTCCTTTGAAGAGAGATGCTTATCCAGTTCTTCTTTCACTGGCCCTTTCAAGAAAGTCCTGCCATCCAGGTTGAAGACTTTGACTTTTTTGTCCACTTTATTTAATTTACAGTTGTGCTGGAGCCACCTGCAGGACTCAGGGTTGAGGTCGTTTGCAAACACCATGCAGTTCTTCTTTGCGGCAGGGATTGCAAAAGGCCCCACCCCTGCAAAGACATCAAAAAGAAGGTCTCCTGGCTTTAAAAGGTTGACAATCCGCAAATGTTCGGTAGAGAGGCGAGGATTCCAATAAACTTTGGAAAAATCAAATTCATACGAGATATAGTTTTCCTTAACCTAGAAGAGTTCAAGTGAATAGGCTGACTGTTAGCTGCCAAAGGTCAGGAAGAGTGAAATGCAATGAAATGTTACATTTTATACCAAAAATTAGAGTTCCCCTTTGCTAGCTATGGAAGAATTGAGAACCATGTCCTTGCAAAAGATCAGATTGGGAATAAAGAGACCCAAATTAAGATTCATCCTCAAATATGGAAGTTCACTGGATGATTTTGGCCCAATCATTATGTTTCAGCCATCCTAACATAAGGGGTGTTATGTAACTAAGTTCTAGAGCAACAATGATGTTTATATTGAATGAATGAATATGTTGCCATGTTTATACAAAAGTGATTAATTAATTAATTAAAAGAGTCAGGACACATAACCCCATAGCTCTATATATATCAACTGTAAGCATTTATGGTGCAAGAAGGGACAGATCCTTAGAACTACATAGCTACAAATAAGGTTTATAACACTAGCATTTTATATCAATGTGAGATCTAGTTTTCATCAGTTGAAAAAAACAGTTTTACACTCTAAAGCACCAATGTCTTTCCCATTCAGAGGTTCAAGATGGTTTTTTAAAATTTTGCCTTACTTAAAAGAAAAAAATACAAATAAAATAATTCAGTCACTGTTTTAAAATTAAATATTACTGTTCGGTTTACAGCTTCTTCGGTAATATATATTTTAAACAAATTCTTATCTTTAAAGAGAACATACATTTATCATACATTTACACTAATTTTGTATCAACTGTCTCTATCAGGGAGTTGGAAATATCTATAATATATTCGGAAGGCAAAAGCTGAGATAACTGAGAATATACTAAAACAATACAGTACATACACCTTTTCAGGAATCCTATATACAAGATCAGCCTTGTATACCAGAGTCCTAAATCTTATTGAAGTGATCCACTTCGCTCATTTGCTTTACAAGTAGTCCTCGGGTTACCAATGGCAATTGAGGCTGTAATTTTTATCACTAAGTGATGTAGTTATCAAATGTAACAATCTGTGACTACCTTGCTTATCAACAACAATCCAGACAGTAACAGTTACAGTCGTAACTCAGATGTAGGAGAAGGACTGATAGAACCTGGGGGCAGAGGTAAAAGAGGGATCAGCCAAGAATCCCAGGTAACTATAGTGAATTAAGTCTAACCTCCCTTGAATTCTGTTGACCCTTATCTAATTCCAAGCAGGTGCTGTTAGTTAAGAATATTCCTGTGCGTAGGCATGAGTAGCAATAAATCAGTGTAACTGGACCTTCACGTGTGGACTTTGCATCCAGCATCAGAGACTGTGTGGTTTATTAAGAGAGGCCCTCACATGACCAGAGTCCAAGGCAAACAGGCCAGTGGGCAAGGCTCTGGGGCAGGAAGGTGCTATGGGTGGGCCAGCAGGGACTGGAGGTTGGTGCTATTGAAAATGGGCACGCTGGCAGGGCTACTGCAGGTGGGTGAAGAGGTGCTATGAGATACCTAGGTTCTTGTACACCGTAGCAGGGCTCCTTGGAAGAAAAAGTAGTAACAGAGACTTACAAGAGTGATTTGAAACTTTCCCTGACAGCTTCCCCGTTGACTTTGCTTGTAGGAAGCTGGAAGGGATGGTTGCAAATCCTATAATTGCAAAGAAGTTGCAATGTTCACAAGGTCACAGACTATTCATAGGTCTCCCCTGTGCAGCACCACTGTAACTTTGAATGGTCACTGAATAGTGATCATAACCTGAGGACTACCTGTATTCAAACCAAATAAATAAATACTAAATAAAGCAATTTGATTCTGAAGAAAGAAAAAAAGATAGTTCCTAAACTGAATCTAAAACAAATGTTTTTGCAAGAATTCATTAACTCTATACATGTGTATGTGCATGCACATTACATAAATTCAACCACTGGTAAACTATATTCCTCTTACTAGAATCTTTTAATCAGAGCTGCAATTTTATTCAGCCTAGACAAGCATATCTGAAAACACAGATTTCAAACTCTATAGAATTGAGAGGCAGACAAGAAATCATAGTCCAACATTCAATAATGTCTATTTCTTGCTCTGCTTATATCTCCTTGGTAAGAGCATTCTTTCTGCTAGGATAAAATACAATTGAAAGTCTCAGTACCTTTGTTATCATGTTGGCACCATCTCCAGCTAGTAGCTCCATTTCAAAGTTTCGATACATACTATCTATAATATTGATTTTATTTACAGCACAGGTTATTCCTTGATTTTTGTCAATGATAACTTGTCCTGAAAGTCAAATATGCAAAAAACACCACAAAGATAAAAGTGGTAAGCAAAGCATAGAAAATCTTTTCCATGAAATGAGTGCTTCATTTCTTAACAAAGAAAGGTAATCTTATCCTCCTGTGGAACTGCCATAATGCTTGCTTCTGAAACCTTTTAACATCATATTCTTCCCTATACAGAAAAAACTTAAAATTTAACACCCATTTTTCCTCATTTTGGGAAGTTTGTTGAATGGCTAAGGGGCAAAATGGCACACAATATTCCTTTATTTTAAAGAGATATCAGAGAGGAAGACGCAATTTTAAAAAGGCAGCAAAAATGGACAAAGAGAAATGGCTAAAAAGATGGGAACCTTGGTCTCAATTTTTTTTATAAAACAAAACCTGAATATCCTCTTAAATATTTGAATGAATTATTCAAGCATTTGAATTCAAGAATTTATATTATCCAAAGGATTTATATTATTTACTCCACAGAAAATTTCATTAAAGGGAAGGGGGAGGGACTTTTCCCATACAGGATCTACTCTTTTGTCCTTTCAGTCTATAGCACAGAAAGAACTGCCAAACTATTCTTGACTCAGTATAGCAAACATCAACCAACAACAGTGAGACTGGAATGATCAAAGGGAAAAACAGAGAGACATTGAACAGAGACCTGTGATTATTGCCAGTATACAGCCACTGGGACTGCTGAAAGGAGGAAGCTGGCATTTTGCCAACTGACAATTTTGGATATTAACAAGAATTAGGATGTAAAAACATCAGAGCAGAACTCCAATGTACAAGTCTTTGAAATCCCGGCTTTTCCCCAGAGGTTGGTTTAGAATAAGTGGTGAGCCTTTTGGAGGAGAGGGGGGATTTTACATGTTAATTTGAATGTCTTTTCCTCTGGACGTATATAATTCTTTATCTTTTATCTTGGCTCCTGCCATTTGTAAGGTTGCATGCCACCCAGGAATCTTAATGGTTCACAAAATTTGATAATACACTACCTCTTTTTTTTTACTTTACGCAAACATATTAATGCTTTTATTTTATATTATGCAGAGACCATCTCTCAGGTTATCTGCACCTTCTGAAGGGATGGGGAGGGGATTTTATGCTTGGCATGCTGTGGATGCTGCTGGGATCATCGTTCTGAGCTTACTGTGCCATGAAATCACTACACTATGTGACTTCCATACACCATACTTCTGCCATTCCATACACCATTCCATTCCCTCACCCCTTCCCTGGCTGCTGAAAAATAGGGAATGAACCACATGACAATGCAGAAATACAGTTGCTTTCAGTGCTTTTAAAATGACAAAACTGATGGTAATATTTTACTCAAATCAATCGTGCCTAAGATTGCAGACAGAGAGAGATGCATTGTTGCTTTCAACCATAGCCAAAAGTCAAGCAAAAGACGCAATTCTATGACTTCATATTTAAACTCAGGGAAATTGAATATTTCATTTATTCTTCCAGGTTCTGTTGCATTCTACTGCTTTCCTGAATACGCAACTGCAGGAATGTAACAGCTCAGCAGTTGCACTCATACTGTTCAAGCAGAAGGTCACAAATTTCGATTTCCCCAGCATCTTTATTTAAAAGGATTGGTTAGCAGCTGACGGGAAAAGACCTCTGCTTCCAATTTTAGAAAGCCACTGCCAAGGCTAGATTGACAGTCTGAGCTGATACAAAGTACTTTCTTCTTTTCTTCATTTAAAAAACACATAAACCATTGAAACTGACCTTGCTTAAATTAAATTCTGTATCACATATCGTGCTAATTTATGCACTAGGTTATACATCATCTTTACAAAAGATTTATTGCTGCTAAACTATACGAAACAACTCACCTTATTTTAGGCATTGAAAAGCTCAAATGATTTTTCACATCTAGTTTTAAAATATTAGCCCAATTATCTCTTTAGAAACCATTAAAAAGCGTTTCTACAGTTTTTTAATGCACAGGATTACACAGTAATTCCTGACCACAACCTACCAATTAAATGTTTATAAGGCAGCTGATGGCTTCTCAGATTCATGTGAGCAATATGGCCAATTCTGCTAAAGGCTGTGATGATCTCCTGGCCTTCAGGAAGCACCGCTTTCAGAATTTCTTCTGTCTTGAAATTATCGTAAGTAAGTTTCATGTTATACTTGACTGTTTCAGGTTTAATACCAAAGCTTTTTAAGATCTGTTGTTCAGATTCACCCAAAGAACCGTCAGCAGATATTTTATGTGGGTCTAACAAAACGTACTTTCTGTTTTCATCGTCAGGGTCTTCAACGACTCTCTTGAGACCCGGTCGCTGGAGTAGTACTCCTTTAAGAGACTTCAGCAGATTGTTTGTTATGTCTTTGTTAACTAGAAGAGCTGGGATGATAACATCATTTTTGAAAGCAGCTTTGTCAAGGGTGGTCATTCCTCGTACTCTGGGATGCGGCAAGAACCCATTGAGATCAGGTTTCTTATCAGCCATCTCCTGCATGGTGAAGAAACTTGGTCTCTGAATTCCTGGAAGATGTTCAAGCAGAGACTGGTTCCAAAGCATCCACACTGTTGGAAAGAACGTTTCTGATCCAAAATACTTCACTTTCAGGAGGCAAGGGAATACGCTTTTTAATTGCCTTAAAAATCTAAAGGAAAAAGTATTCATTTTTTAGATATTACTCAGAGAAAAGATACAAGTTTGCATGTCTGTACGGTAGTCATAAACTATTCATATGAGAAAGTCTAAACCAAACTTTGGGTTATGCAAGATTTGATTAATAACAAGCTTCACAGAAGATTGATCTACTAATTATGCTTACTTATTTTAGGGTCCTTGGTGCTCTCTGAGCTTGGTGGTCTTCTTGCAGAGATCATCAGCACTGATGATGCTAGCTAGTTTGGTACTAAAACATCTGCAAGAAAACCACCAAGCTCAGAGAGCACCAAGGATCTCACAGTTCTACACTGAGCTAAAAATATTCTTTCTATTCTCTTGAAAGTTCCCTGCTAGCCATAGTTCTTCCTTTTTTATCCAAAGTGGCAAATCATGATTACCAGGTTCAGAACAAGCCAAATTTCTAAACCAAGTTTGAAAGATGGTTTAAAATCTTGTTCTAGACCTCATAGTCACAATAGTCATAATTTCTGTAATTCAAAAATTACAATTATTAAAGGATTTCTGGGTTTATCTACTGCATGGCAAGAAAAGGTAAAAATAAAGCATTCTGTACCCAAACCAAAAAAAAATGCACATATTGACTTCATAAACATTTTGCAGTTAAAATAAATGTAGTTTTTGCTTAACATCCATTTGTTCAGTGACTGATGTTAAAATGATGCTGAATGAACACTTATAACCAGTCCTCAAATTTCTGGCCACTGTAGCACCCCATAGTCACGTGAATAAATTCAGGCGAACACGGGCCTACTCACATTTACAACTGACTTTTGGCTACTTGCTGCCACCAGCTACCCCTGCAACATGGCCCATCGAACCTGGGCACACTACTGTACTGGCTGGGTCTTCTTTATGCCACTTTTTTTTTGCACCAATTCAGTCAGAGCTTCTCTCACACACTGACCAAGGCTTCTCATGTGTGCTGCCCAGGACCTCCATTCATGTGCTAGGCAAAATGTCTGCACCCGGCTCAGGGCCCTTTCAGGAAAGGAGGCCCTGGCCGGGTGCAAATAAGGTCCCTGGGAAAGGTACGAGAGAAGCCCCGCCTGCATCGGTGCAAAAGATGATGGCATAAAGAGTAGTGGCATGTGTTGTGGTGGGGAGGAGTAGCAACAGCAGGTAGGCAAGTGACCCAAAGGGCCAAAAGAGGTTAATGAGGGGAGTTGAAATAGAGGCAGTTCCTTAACTTTTTCCAGTAATGGCTTGGATTCTGGTGGATCCTCATCTAATAACCATGTGGGATTTGCTCAATCACAGTAACTGGAACTGCCAATGCTAAGCAGAGTGGTCATTTAATGTTCAGCGTAACAAATGCATCACTTAAAGATAGAGTTGCCAATCCCAGTTAGGGTCATTTAAGTTAGTATACATGTCAGACTGGATCAGTTTCTCTTAGTGTAAGCAGAATACATTTAAATATACATATATAATCAAATAGTACAAATTTGCAAATGAAGCACCAAAAGCAGATCAAACCGTTGCAGATTTCTCATCTCGCTCTTAGCATAGTCCAGTTGTCTTGCATAAAAAAGACAATGAAAAACTCAATAACCATGTTTCATGATCACATACTAACTTAGAGTTCTTAAAACATGTGGGTATACCTGAAATCAGACAAACTATAACTTATCTACAGCATAGAATACTATAAAGTGGAGTTAGTCCACTAAACCACTTGTTTAGTGACCAAAGTTAGAATGGCACTGAAAAAATTGACTTATGACCGCTTTTCACACTTATGACCATTGCAGCATCCCCAAGGTCATGTGATCAAAATTCAGATGCTGGGCAACTAGTTCATATTTATGACAGTTGCTATGTCCCAAGGTCATGTGATCACCTTTTGTGACTTTCTGACAAGCAAAGTCAATGGAGAAGCCAGATTCACTTAACAATCGTGTTACTAACTTAACAACTGCAGCGATGCACTTAACAACTGTGGCAAGAAAGGTCGTAAAATGGGGCAAAACTCACTTAACAACTGTCTTGCCTAGCAATGGAAATATTAAGGCTCAATTGTGGTCATAAATCGAGGATTACCTGTGCTATATCAGTTCTTCCCAGTCCAGTTTGTTTATATCAGTGGTGGCGAACCTATGGCACGGGTGCCAGAGGCAGCACTCAGAGCCCTCTCTGTGGGCACGCGCACCGTCGCCCCAGTCCTAGGCCTTCAGCTGGGTTTTATAAAACCTTTTCGCTTTAGGCCTCCGCTTCCGTGTGCAAAAAAAAAAAAGGTTCAATCAATCAGTCAATTTCAACTTCTCGCAGGGAAAAAAAAGATCTTGCAAAGTTGGAATTGATTGATTGAACTTTTTAGTCCCACCCAGTCTGCCCTTACCACCGCAGCCAATGGCCATACCCAGCCAATGGGCCACACCCACCCGGCACCCAACAATGCATAAGTGGGTTTTGGGTTGCAATTTGGGCACTCGGTCTCTAAAAGGTTCGCCATCATTGGTTTATATCTTGGCAAATTTTTAAATTACTGCTCTTAAATTATGTTGGCATCATACATTACTTTGTGTTAATGTGTCTATGCATGCTTTTGACTCCTGGCGATTCCCAACAAATCTATGCAGTTTTCTTAGCCACATTTTTAGAAGTGGTTGCCATTATTAAACTTTTGGATTCACTATTATGAGATGTGGTGCCAGCTACCACTTTGGCTGTCTTCAAAAAAAATGTTATGGACATCATGGGATCAAATATGATGTGCATTTTAACATTTTACCACATTGAAATTTGTTTTTCATTTATTGTATTGTTGCTAGCCACCATCTTTTTTTAAAAAAATATTTATTTTCTTTATTTATTAAATTATTATGCCACCCATCTCCCCTATAAGGTGACTTCGGGCGGCTTAATGAAATATACCAAAAGGCATACCAGCCATAATAATGTTATTGAATATTAGGATAATCTTGTTATTTATCTACAGTCGAAGGTTGTGTAGTTTTCTGTTAGTGGAGATTTTTCACAAGGTAGGCGGTTAGTGCTTTTCCAAAGAGCCTTCTACAATCTGGTGCCCCCTCTATGCATTATAAGCCAGTGTGAAGAACACTGGTCTAACCACTGATTTCTCCCATCGGGTAGGGGTTAGTTTCAATGCTCCCTCCAAATTTGATCCTTTGGACCAGTGTTTCTCAACCTTGACAATTTTAAGGCATGTGGACTTCAACTCCCAGAATTCCACAGCCAGCATTGCTGGCTGTGGAATTCTGGGAGTTGAAGTCCACATGCCTTAAAATTGTCAAGGTTGAGAAACACTGCAAGTTTGGACTGTCTCTTGCAGCACCTGCAACGTGCAGCTGCCTTACTGCGGAGAAAAGCGACCATCCAAAGAGAGAAAGGGACAATCTGCAGAAGAGAGCTCGACGTGGGTTCCTCGTAGGGGAGTACCCAAGACCCCAGGACCCCCCCTCTCGTGCCCCCTATTGAAACGAGGGCACAGAAAGAGGCCCTTCCCGCTTCTCCCGACCTCACCTCATGCCGGCCTGGCGCCGCGTTCCCTTCGCTCCTTCCCCCAGAGCAGCCCGGCCTTCCCGGCCTCATCATCACCCGTCGCCGCGGCCAAGGGCGGAAGGGGGCGGTGCGGCCCGGCCTTCCCCGCCCACAGACTCGCTCTGGGTAGAGCCGAGCGCCGCCTTCTCCTAGCTTGCCCGGCCGATCGATCGTAAGGATCGGCTGACTGAGAAGCGGCAGTGGCTGCGGTTGTTGCAGCCTTTGCTCGCCCAGCGCACCATGGAGCAGCCGCGAGTCTGCACAGTCAATTCCGAGCCCGGGTGGTATTTGTCAGCTCAGGACCTGGAAGATGGAGCCCCGCTCCTCTCGCCCCCGGACACGGTGCGTGTCTTGCTTGGGGGCTCTCGGGGTGCGGGGACGCGGCTTTCGCAGTCAGCCCTGCAGGCTTTCTCTTTCTCCCTCTCTCGCTGTCTGAAAGTGCAAGAACCGCACTTTGACCCAGTTCCTGAATTAACTCATTTTCTGGGTTCGCTTAATGCTCCGAGCCACGGGCTATCCCAGTGTTTGCAACCTTTTCATTTCTAAGATGTGCGGACCCCAATTCCTAAAGTCCTAGCCGGGGGAATTTTGGGAGGTCCAAAATTCCCCCGCTGAACCAAATCGGCTGGGTGTGCACAACAATGCTGAACCATTAGAAACAAGGATTAAGTTTTACCAAGCTTAACTTCTAGAAATGTACAGACACAGCTAAAAGCATGTGTTTGAACACAAGATGAAAAACATCCAGGGTGAGTCAGGGTGAAGAAGTCATATGATTGCCATTAATTATGTGACCTGGTTCGTATGTGAAGTCACACTACCTCATTGCCTCAAGCCTCTTTGCCCCTAAGTCTTCACAGTAAGCTCCCTTTCAAATGTGTTGGACTACAGTTCTAGTGGTCCCCCCAATTGAAAACGTTTAATCTAGGCAAGCCAGTTGATAGAAAAGGCATCAGGTTAGAAATGGGGAGATTGAGTTCAAGTCCTGTTTAGTCATGAAGACAGCTGGAGGTCGTTGGGCTAGTTTGCTCTCTCTTGGCCCTAAGAAGAAGGCAGTGGCAAATCACTTCTGAAAACATTAAGCAAAATGGATTTTTCCAAGAAGGTGCCAGAAATCAAGATTGATTTAAAGACATTTTTAAAAAATTGAGGCATTGGAAAACTTACAATCTTATAGAGAAAAAAATAACATCCCTTGTTTGCCACCAAACATATATTTCACAGCTTCTTAAAGCCTCACTGGAAGTGCCCTGTTACCCTAGAGAAGCATATCATGCAACAGAGATCCTCCCCACCCTTTATAATTTTCCAAATGTCCACCTGTCCAAATGGGTTATGTGTTATGAGTCCTAGAACTTTCCAAGCCTGTACAATCTATAGAATGGGTAGATATTCTTGTACACCAATGGTAATAGTAGACATACCTTTTGCAACAAAGATTTGCTCCATGAATATCCCAAATGTATAGACTTTTTGGAATTATTTCATTCAAAACTCTTATTAGCTATTTTGAATCTTCAGGGTATGTTTAATATAAATGCATATTTTAAATCAGCTCCCATTAGAACAACTGTAGCAAAATATTTGTATGTCAAACACATGATTTCAGATGAATCTCTGCCTGTGAATTAATTGGTTTCTTTCATACTTGGTTTGGCCTTGAAAAACTAATTAAGAGATTTGAATGTAACAATGCATTTGGTTCTAACATTTGCAGGCATCCTTGAATCATGTATCAACTGGCACCTCCTTTGGCTTTTCTGTGTTTAACTTAATGAATGCTATCATGGGAAGTGGGATTCTTGGTTTGGCATATGTCATGTCCAAGACAGGAATCATTGGATTTAGGTATGTTTTTATTATCAGTTCTATTTTTGAGTAGTTTGAAAACTTTATTGTGGTCTATATTTATGTTTACTTTAAAAGTTGGGATTTTTTAAAAACTTAAGTAAAACTGATTATTTTAAGAATAAAAGTAACTAAAACTGAACAAGCAGGTCGAGAGAATGTTGAATTCCAGATCCCTCCTCTCTTTAACTCAGTCTCTATTGGTATACTATTGGAAATTACTAATTATGATTTCAGGCATTTAATTTTAATAAATAAATGTCATTTTTGATGTCTGTACAAAATCAGAAGAAAATAGTGTGGAGAAAGTTGCATTGTGATGCTTTCCATGAGGTTCAGTCCTCAGCATCTATAGGCAGAGATAGGAAAGACGTATCTAACTCCAGAGAGCTTGTCATTGCAGACAATACTGAGCAAGATGTTCTGATACAGATAAAGTAGCGTTCTATTTTCCTATGTATATAGAATGGAAAATAATTAAATCAGTACAATGAAATAAATCTCTTACCTGCTGTCTGAATTGGTAGGGATTTATTTTATCAGAAGGCCTGTATTCTGCAACAGAATATAGTATTGTATTCACATTATTCAAATATGGTTTATTGAATGAGCCAATTCAGCCTTGCAGATATATCTAGTAATCATAACTTTTCCCCTGCAATAGTAGCAAATCAATCAAATTATATTTTAGTGTAATGAATAAACCCAGTCCAGTCTGATTTGGCAGTGCTAGCACAAGTACTCTTCTATGTGACTGAAGGAGGCCATCACCCTTTTAATTAGAAATGCTAAACATTGTATCTGGGGCCTTAATGTAGAAAAGTCCGTCTTCTTATTCTAATTCACTAAAAATATTCAGAGTTAAAGTTCTATAATTACCTATATAACAAAACAGGTTTTGACATATCAGTTTTCAGTTATGTGTCCAAATAACACAAATATTTATTTTGATGGGTGCATATTGGAAATATTTTTTTTTTTGGGTTTGGGAATTACGATTTACTTTGCAGTTCAAGGTTTATACAGCCAGAGCCAGATACTGTGATGATTAGTGAGCAAACATATAGTTGATATTTATTGTTCCTCTGCTCATCGGTATCTACTGATCACAAAGATACAATACAATCATTTAAAATACTTTAAATGTTACCAAAGTGTATGTTGTAATAAAAGGTTTGTTATTTTTGCTAGATTGGGATGAGTCATGAAAGTTGCTAAATTCAGTATTAGAGAAAAGTCAGAAAAAGCAGAACATGGAAAAAAGAATCAGCAGTCATGTGCATCATATTCTATCTGTTTAAAATACAAAACGAGGAAATATGTCTTATGATTTATTTGGGGAAAATAAATTGGGGGAAAATGTAGCTTCTCAACTCTCCATTTTAATGGGAAACAATGATTGATGACATTGATGTTCATTATTTTTCTTTTTGTCCTAGTATGCTGCTGTTAATTGTTGCTACCCTTGCATCTTATTCTATATTTCTGTTGCTTAGTATGTGCATTTACACTGGTAAGTAAAAAAACTATAGAGTTTTAAGGAGCTATGTATAAAACTTCGTAAGACTTTAGTGGGGGCAAAATAGAAATAGATTTTGCAAACTGCATTTTACTAGTCCCATTCCTAGAATAGTCTGTGCAATGCAGGCAAATAATTTTTAACCTTATAAAATTACTACTAGGGTCAGCAGCCTTTTTAGATGGTGACACTGTTGCAAAAACCTGGCTATGCATATATATATATATATATATATTCATATGTACATACATCTATATATTCATATACATATATACATACATACATAAGCACACACAAAAGGCAAATTACTTCATTATTGTTGCCAAGAAAACTGTATGGATATATCTGTGTAGTTGTTGATAATCATGTTATCCAGTCATGTCCAACTCTTGGCAGTTCTATGGGCCAGGTCTCTCCACATCCTCCAAACCTTTGTAGTTGACAGGAGATAAATATGAAGAAAAGACATAGAGGGGCATATCTTTTGTGGAAGTGTGAATGCGATGTTAGTAGAATAAATCCCAGAAAACTTAGGTCTTTTTTTTAGTGTCTCTTTCTTTTTATCTGAACTCTGAGCCAGTTGACATTCCCTTCCAAATTGTCTTCATATATCTTTAACTGATTATTCATTGGGTCTTTGCTAGTTTTATAATTAGCCTCTACTAGAAGCCCATCCGAAATCTGTGCTTGTGTATATTTTGGGGGGGACAGGTAATAATCAGAAGTACAAATGTTACTTGCTACTTAGTACCGAGTGATAGCTCCCCCCCCATCAAGTGGCATTCAGTGCTGCTGAAGAAGAGTGAAGGATCTTTCGAAATAAAATAATGTGTTTATGACAAGCTACATTAAAGCCTTCTGGATATTTATTGGATGATGTTGACATACAAGAAAAGAAAATCTGAAGTTGCAAAGACAAAATGAAATAGGAATGTTGAATGTAAGAAGCATGAAAGCTCAACAAAGTTAAAAACTGAAATGAATCAGCTATACGTGGTAACTTATGCATCAACGAATTAAAATGGATAGAATTTTGACACTTTCAGTCAAAAGGTCATATTGTTATTTATTCAGGACACAAAAATAAACAGTTGTTTTCAGTTACAGTATTTGCTATATACTGTACATAGCAAAGAAAATATCTGGGTACAATGCAGTTAATGAGCTGATAATATTGATTACACATTTTGGACTAGTTATCCAATAGGATGGGTATGATAATTTAATATGATGGTTATCCATGTTTATGCCTAACCACTGATGCAGCAGAACATTCAAACAAGACGTGCCATGTTGTAGTTAGTAATAGTACTACCAAAGTTGGAAATTGTGGGCAGGAAAATAAAGTTGGATTGTATGGCCTAGAAAACAGAAGTTAAGAATGACAATCAGTTTCTGTCCATCCAAATATTTCTTCATTGATAACATGTTCTTCAAAGTGACCCCTGTAGTGAACATTGCCAGATGGAGCATACAGAAATTAAACTGGATATGTTATTGGTACAAGGAGGTGGAAAAACTCAGGTATGTTAGCAAACAAATTGTGTGAGGCTGATTATAGAATAGATCATGAACTGCTCGTGGGCAAGTTCTATCAGGGGTAGTCAACCTTGGCTCTTTTATGACTCGTGGACTTCAACTCCCAGAATTCCTGAGCCAGCCATTCTGGGAGTTGAAGTC